ATTGTAAAATAGTTTTTTTATATGTTGCACACCGGGTGAAAAGTCAGTCGTGTAACATCGACGGTCGCTCCTGTATGTACCATGTGGGAATAAAGATTCGGAAATTCTGATTAGTAAAGATTAAAGATTATTGTGGCGATTGTTATTGGCTTGTTTCTTAATCTCGGATTTAATTATCCGAATGATGCTATAGTTTACGTACGTACGTACGTATGTCTGCGGTACTGTACCTAAAGCAGGCAGATGCCAACTTTAGACACAACATATACATTTTAATTAAACAGGTTAAATAGTCAATAATTTCCGTTTTACTTTCTTAATATAGAGATTAAGAATAAAACTCGGCCGTTGAACGTCATTACATTATAGCTGTTTCAATATTGATGCGAAAATGATTTCCATATACTCGCATGTGAATGAGAAAACCCCGATTAGTGAAAATTACAGTAAAATGTACGAATTACTAATTTCCAGATCCTATAAGGAAAATCGGAGAATCTGGAAATTTTGCTTAGTAAAAATTAAAATTCAAATATTGTGCTTTACAAAAAGCGTGACCTCGTGATTTTCGTGATGGTGATAGCAGGAAATTTCTTAAATTCTAAGTTTTCCTGTAGATTATATTTTCAATTAGCAACATATATATTATGGCGGCTTGCAAAAAGGTGTGACCCTGTAATTTCGTGATGATGATAGCGGAAAAATTTTCTGAGATTTTAACACCCTATTTATTACAATTTTCAATCAATAACGTTCATATTTTATTTGAAATCTTTAAAATTTTCTAACAATCGAAAAATCTACTACTAGTCTCGTTATTTTATATCAGATCTGACATCATGATCTGCAGCATCATAATCACACTTTTTTGATTGCACGCGGCAGATCCTCGATTTTGATTGGCTAAGAGCGACGATCAAAAAATTAGGCCGGAGTTACTCATAATTTTACTAATGAAATCGCAGCCGCCCATTAAGTAAAATTGTTCCTGGGCCGCTTATTTTTTAAAAAATTCTAATGAAAAAAGTTAAGTTAATTCCGGCCGGAAATTAGTAAACAATTATGTAATGCGGGCCAAAATTTCGAAGATCCTCGGACGTTAGCCAATCAAAATCGAGGATCTGCCGCGCATTTTTTGTGCGGCACCTAGGTTCAATCATTTATTTGCAAACTGCGGGAAATCTAGGAATTTCCATAATACAGTAATATAAAATATCATCAGGATGTAGGAGAACTTACCCGTACACATGATAATTGATCAATGATTCAATTATGATCAAGTATATGCAACATGATCAGGAATAACGTACTATATATATCCGTTTTTAAAATAGGTCATAAATAAACATACTTTTACGCTCTAATAAATAACCTTAAAGCTTGTCGTAATGCGATGGGTGTGAGATTGCAACTGCCTAAATTTAAGGTTAGGCCAATTATTGCCGCTGCAATTTCGCTCAAGTTAGTATTTATATACTGTAGTGAAGTTAGATTCAAAGCCATTTATCTAAATTCTCTTGTATTATATAGAGAATTGCTCTCAATATAGAGAATTTTTTAATTAATGTAACTGATAATGAATAATTGACTAAAATTAATGAATAAAAAACGTAAAATATTATATAATATAAAATCTATTTGTACATGGGTGATTGTACACGAGGTATATAAAAAACCCAACTGATATCTCGAATTTTCGATTATGAAACCACCTTTGGCTTCTAACGAAAAAATCTCGCAAAATTTTGGTATAAACTCTCTAACTATAAATGAGGTTTTATAAAAACTATTTGATTAGCATGATACACAAATTTGTAAATCAAAAATTAATACCCGCGTATAGACACTAGTGTAAATTAATAAATAAAATAGAAATAAAATGCAGCCTATAAATGAAGACTTTAATCTTTACTCAGTGACAGAATAACTTTTTCTTCTAATTTTTCAGTTAATGTGACATAAATAGCTACACATGTAAGATAAATTTTTATCCATAATGAATCTGGAGCAGCGATTGTACAAAATAAGAAATGTGAATATATTCCAATTACTTTTACTATTATAAATATGAAATAAATAAAATTAATAAATAAAAATAAATTTAATTCAAATAAATCAAATAAATCAAATAGACTAATTTAACATACCCATCATACTTCTTTTTGGAATCTTATGTACATTTACAAAGACTTCCCAGCAGTTTCTAGGTTTTGATGCATTGGCATGTGAAGAGCTAGATTCTTTAGATTCTAATTTTTTGACCCTTTCTTCTAAAACTTTTAATTCCGTTATTTCATCTTTATAAACTGAAAAAACTATTTCAATTATTGTAAATACTATGAAAATAAGTGAGGGAAGCAAAATAACAAGAAAAGCTAAGGGAGCTTCCAGAAATCAGCTGATTTCTGGGTGGGTGGGTTGGTTGGCTGGGTTATCAGGTGTAATTCTGGCCAAAATTATTAGGCCGTGGCCAGAATTATCGTTATAGATTTTAGATTTATGCAGATCTTATCGTTATAAAAATCAAATAGTACATATATATGTTCTATCACTATAGCCTTTTGTATTCTAAGTAAGATTCTACTCTCTTGCATTATAGACAGTTTATTATATAATATGTGTCTTATACATATTGCACATGCTATATGCACTATGTACTGTACATACTGTACACTAAAAAATATGAATATCAGATATCACACATCACTAGCTGATTGACAAACTTGCACATTCTATCCACTTTCTTTTACGTTTATGTTTCTTTTTTCTTTATATACTGTATACAATTTAATTCTTTTACATTTCATTTTAATTTCTTTTACTTTTCTGTTTCTTGGCATATGTTAAAGCTAATTATTATAAATCTTTACACATATTTTATAGATCAAGAAATAATTGAGGTATGCATTAGTACTATCTAAAGTTATCCAAGATCTTATTCAAAAAACTTTTAGGCCGGTCTGAATAATACCCGGAGATACTAGTAGGAAGTGAAGTACTATAATAATATCTCAATTTTATAGAAGAGAGGATACTTTACCAGGATATATACTATACGTAGCAGTATGATATAGCACTATTCAAGTAAATTTTATAAGCGGTTTAATTTATATATTTATTTATCATGTCTATTTTTCATTATTAAATACAATATGTTTTTTTATATAGCTATTTAAATAATGTTTATTATACTGACGGTTATATGATCAGTTTGATGTTGCGTTATTTTATTCACCATCAGAAAAGTATGGAATTAAAATATCTAATAATTCTTCTTCATTTAAAAAAGAACTAGAAAACAATCATCTGTTGCTGCACAAACTATAGACTTTTTGTGCCGATAAGTAAAAGAAGAGTGTTTGAATTTTTTATGCCAAGAAAGAAAGAACATAGTGGGAAAATACTGATGACAGGTAGAATATACTAATCGTAAATAAAGTTCAGGAGAAATAGAGAGGCAATGTTGATCGAAACCTGGAATTTTTAATTTGTCCACATGCTAAAGTATGTGGATAGGATTAAGAAAATAACCATCTCGGCCTTTGATAGATGGTGGTAAAAATCTATTATTTTTAGCTAACAGGGCGGCTGCCTCTTTAGCTCTCCATGTAGAACAACAATTAATATCATTACATTTTCAAATATCAAAAGAATACTGACACATTTGGCAATGGTTTTCCATTCAGCCCCAAGATACATCTGAAGCTTTATTAAAAAGGTTAATTTGTTTATCAATATATTCAACATTTACTTCTTTATCATTAATATAGTCTCGTCGCCAAATATCACGTAACTTTTCACCGGCATAATGAAAATTTTGCTTTGCAAGGTCTATATTCTTAATAATACCACTAGAATCAAGGTGAGAACCAAAATAGTCAATAGGTAGGACAATACCTGCCAACTTTCCTGAGAGGGTAGACATACTACGCTCTACAGGATTGTAGGCAGATTGTCCTGGGGCATGAGTTCTGATAGTAAAATAATCTAAATTTAATTCTATAAATAATTTACAGTATTCTTTTATATTCTTTAGGTGCCTGGGGTTCTCATCAGGACCACCGTCAACAATCAAAACCAGAATTGGTTTGAATTCATTTTCTAACTTTAACATATTATTTAAAACAGAATTTTCCATCATAAGCATTATGTCAGCCATATGAAGTACCAAGCAACTATTGCGGACAGATAAAAATTGACAATTGACTATTACGTAACGAATCATTTGAATCTTCTGGATCAATTGTAAGGTAAACAGAAGGTATTAGCTTTTGTTTGCTTCTTCGAGAAAAATTGTGATCTTTTTTATCAAAAAAAAAATAAAAAATAAATTAAGACCATGTGAATTTCAATTAATTAACCTAGCTGGGTCTATTTAAATTTTTTTTATATTATGAAAACTACTTTACTGAAACTTGCAAAATAGCAATTTGCAATTAACTATAGAGTAACTATATAGTTACTTGGTAGTAACAATTTTCTTTATATCAACTATATGTTAACAATACGCCTACTACTGTTTATTTTTTTAGTTTTCAAGTTACTATATAACTATTTTAAATTTGTATTTGTATAGTCTAATATTTATTTTTATATATACTTACCAGGTATCTCAACTGGCTCATAAGTGGATTGCACAGTTTTAAATGTCCTTCCAACAGCTGGTATTCCAAGTGGTACTTTTGCTTTATCATCCTGTGATATAATCACAGAATGAGAGGCAAAAGTGCTAGCAAATAGTTTTGCATTTTTGACCAACTGCAAACAATAGTGCCCATATATATACTCGGGCATTTCATTTCTAGATACCGAGTTGACTTGGATGGCCATAGGGTGGTGGTGTCTTTTGGCGTTTGAAGAGTTAATTCGCCTGGGCCAAGTGTATATATATAAACAGGTATGTGATATGTAAACTTGATATTTTTCTTCCATTTCTCTTTTTAAATGAGAAATAGTACGCACTTTAATTACTTCTTTTCGCCTTTTTTTGGCAGCATTGCCGAATTCGATACACGAATGCATTTGATCAGGAAGATCAGGATTTAAAAGAAGAAAAGAGGGCGCCTAGGTGAATTGTATCTAATAACTTCTCCACTTTCTTCCAAAGCCTTCCATTTTTTTGCTTGACTTTTGACTTGTGCAGCAGCATGCTTCATTAATTTTTGCCTCTTTTTTTTCAACTTCAATTTCTTGTTTAGTTTCATCGATTTGAATTAAAAAATCGTGACGCCGTCTAGAATCATGCGCAACATTATACAACTCATTTAATTGTGGAGTTGATCTTCAGCAGATTTTTGTTTGGCCAAAGAATTTTTTTGAGCAGTTGCTTTATAGTGTAGTTTTTCAGATTCTATTATAGAAGATGAGAATATAGATATAGAGGAGCTAATTTCATTTGATATAACTGGATGTAATGTAGGCGCAAAGGATGTACATTGAATAGGTTGTAAAGGTGTTTGTAAATAATTATTTATTTTATTTTCTATAGTATTGTTATCCAAATTTCGTATGGTTTTCCACTCTTCTTGAGCTTTTATAAAGATATCTTGTTTTTTAGGAGACGGGGTTTTTATAGAAACGGCTAAATACATCAGCAAATTATATAAACGTAATCTTACATAAGATATTACGACCCATAATATTGCGCAAGAATTACGGTCTGGACATAATATTGCGCAATTTATTACGTAATATTACGCAATTTATTATGGAGTATTACGCAATTTATTACGG